TCTTTGGGTGTTTTGGGTGTATTACTAAAAAAGGAAATTTTTAGGAATTTTGAGATTTGCGGGAAAGAGTTTTTTTTTTCCTTATAGTATTTATTTTATAATTACAAATTTATTTAAAATAAATAAGTTTTTTTTTAATTTTTTATTTATTAATATTTAATAAAATTTTTTAAATATAAATAAATTTATTTTTAATTTGTTAAATTTAAATTAATTAAAATAATTATATGATGATTATTATTTTATTAAATTAATATCTTATATATTTTTTAAATATTTTTTTGGTTGCGAATAAGATAATAATTAATTTTATTTTGTTGTTATATTATTTGAATATTTATATAAAAGTTTAGATAAGTATTTATTAATTTTTTTAATTAATATTAAAATAATATTATTATGAATTTAAACAATTGTTTTTTTATTATATTAAATTTTTGTTTTATAATATTTTTGTTTAAACAATTATTTTATAGTAAAAGCAATTGATTATATTGATATTAATTTATAAATAGATTATAACTATTTGAATAATTTAAATAATTTATTATTTATAAATAAATTATATTTTGGTTTGTTTTTAATTTTATAAATAATAAGATTTTTTATATTTATTTAAGTAAGTATCTTTTATTTGAATAGAAATAATATTAACTTTTTTTTTATAATAACTATTTAACAAATATTTTATTGATATTTATTTCAAGTATTATTAATTATTAATTTTATTTTTATTGTATTTTAAGTACTTAATATAATAGCAATTAAAGACAAATAAGTTTTGATTTTTAAAAATATTGACATAATATATTGTTATAATGAATGAAATTTTTAGATTAACTTTTGAAACAAATTGAAAAAGAGTTTTTTTTATATTTGTTAAAATTATAAAAAACTTTTCAAAAATAAAAATATAAAAATTAATAAAAAATAAAAATAAAATAAAAATATATATGATTTTTTTATTTAAATAAAATTTTAAAATCAATAATAGAATTTTTATTTTTATAGGTTTTTTTAATATTATAAACTGTAAATTTTATTAATGCAACAATTTGTTTATAATAAAAAAAAAACCTTATTCAAGTTTTTTCTTATAAAAATATTTCAAAAATTTTTATAAAATCCATTTTTAAACATAAAAATAATATTAGTGCCTTCAAATTATAAAAAAAGATTTTTCTAATTTTATAATAATTAATAACTTTTTTATTGAATTATAAAATCCAATATATATATATATATATTTGCAGATTTCGTTTAGAGAACATTGTCACAAACAATTCTTTAAAAAATATATTTTCAAATTACACTTTAATAAATTTTTTTATTTTAAAGTATACTATTTCCATAAAAATATTTTGTACTGTATATTGTCAATATAGTGGTATTCATTGGTGAGATATGGTAGGATAAACCCAGGAACTCTGAACCAATTTAAAGATTTCATGTTAAACCGGATGTGATGTTTCTTTTCACAAAAACATATTTGACAAATAAAAAAAAAAATAGATAAAATTTTGATTGTTTTCTTATCATCATTTAATCATCATGTAATCATCATTTTTTTTTTTTGTATTTTTTTTTTATTTAAAACAAACATTTAATTAACCACAATAATTATTTTTAATTGACAGCAGTCGTGATGATCAAAACCAATTCTTTCTTTTCTTTCTTTTCTTCTTTTTTTTAATAAAAGAAAGAAGAATCGCCAATTATACTTACCCAGATATCATCGATTGCGTTAAAACTTATTTATTAAATCATCTCATTTTTCATTCACTTCATTCATTCATTCATCCATTTATTCATCATTCATTTATTTATTTATTCATTATTTATTTATTCATTTATTTATTCGTCGACCATAATTCGAAAGCGAAAATTGATTTATTTTATTTTTATTTTTATTTTTTTCCTGTTTCGAATCAAATCTCGAATCAAATCTCGAATCGTACCTACTGTATTTTTTTTCATTTAACTAAATTAATACATCTCATAAGTATATATAAGTAAAAAGATGATTATTTACAGAAAATAAGTAACTAGACGGGCGAATCGTGATGACAAATTCAGACTGATTCAGATGCGATTACAATTCAGGCTACCTCTGCATAAATTAAAATGGTCATAAATTAGTCGCAATTGCAGTTGCAAGAATAAAATAGATTTCCTAAAATACGAGATAACATTTTCTTTTTAGTCCAGGTATTGCATGCATCGTTCATTTCCCGGAGATCATGATCGTTGCCGTGCTACGCCGGAATGCGAAAACAAAAAATATACCTGTTTCTCATCATGATAGCGGGGAAAAAAGGAAGTAACACGATGCGTATCGGATGTTTCGTGATTTAAATATTGACTTGTTTGATTATAACGGAATCAAAGATCACATACAGTACATGTACGTTTGCTTGTATGTAGATGATGATGAAATGACATGCGCCGAGGTCCAAAAGCCTGTCGAAGGCTCCCCACGGGTAACAAAAGTAGAAAAAACAGACCATTGTATTGTAGAGACCAATTTCCATGAAAAGGAACCCGTATGAGGGACGAATGAATTCCTTTATCGCGATTGCATTCGGACTTCCATTTAAAATCACCGACTCAAATTGCTTCTCTTTCGCACCAACTCGAATGCGTTCCGAATTGCGCATTCAAGTTACCCCTTATGGAAGGTAACGGGTGGTTGATTACGTACGCAGGCACTTGCTATTTTCTAATGGATCAACCGTCACGTTGATTCATTTAGGGAATTATCATAAAACGAGGTCCGCTGATTTTCACCTTCTAGAAGATGCAGCAAATCGGAACGTTGTTTCATTGAACTTTGTTAAAACAGATTCATTGTGACAGGTATGAGAACCATCAGGTTACACACGGCTTACTCGTCACGCACACGTACTCGAGATCTGATTGAAAGATGATAAGGATTATGATGGATGAAAGAATGAATGAACGGATGGATGGATGGATGGATGGATGGGTGGTGGTGGTGATGATGAGATGATGAGAAAAAATAGGCCATTCGTTTTTGCTCTAATGATCGATCAGAAATGATGAACGCGCCGCCCATCAATCCTAAAACAGGAACCACACCAGTTTTCCAATAATCAACGAAGTCGGCGATAACCTTTCCCTTTCCCTTTCTTCTTTCTTTCTTTTCCATGCATGAATGAGGGATGAGGATAGGAACTTTTTACGTTGATAGAGTATTGGCGCGATGATCCGAGAGGCCAAAGGCTACTACTTGTCAAAAAAAGAGAAAACGCCAACTAAATAGGGGTTACCCAGGCGGAGAGATGGTAATTTCCCATAATTGTTTATGATTGCACGATTATAAACTTTGTCATCATGCACACTCAATTTAACTTAATTCCGCCCGGAAACAAGCAATCACCCGAAAGATTCATTTTGCAGGGTCATGTAGGTGTCATGTGCGTGCGTGCTTTGCCTTTAAACCCTAAATTCTCGTATCTCATGATGAATGAACTTTAAAAAAAAAACAAAGTGGGCAAGTTGGGATACGATTGTTTATGTTTCGTGCTCGGATTAACCTTTGTAAGTTTTTTTTTATCACCATCATCTATCATGTGTGTTACATCAGAGGCTACACCTAATTAATCTAACAGTCTTGAATCATGTTATTTACGCACATAATATCATCATCATCAATGGTGCCTATGCGATGAAAGTATATGCGAACGTCTTTTACTAATTTGGACAAAAAGAGTTAAGAAATTTCTTGCATCGCATGCAAGGTTGAACCACCGAAAGACTGCATTTGCCAATTAATAATAATATTGTTATTTAACGCGCATCGTTTGTGGTGGTTGTACAAGATACGAGATGGATTATTGGATTTGTTAGCTTACCGTAAGCATTATGGAATTTTGTGGGGTCTGGAGGTTTCTATCTGTTGTTGTTTACGCGAATTGGTGCACTTGGTGAAACGAGCGTTTGATAAGCGGCGGCCATGCTGCAAGTAAATGGAGGGAAAGACAAAATGCAATTTATCGTGTCTCCAAAGAAGGGCTACGAGGAGCCAGAATATACAGTAAAATGGACGATCGACCGAGGATTGAATGGAAATGTCGAAATTGAGCGACCAAATGATCTCTCAGAGGTGATCAAAGCGTACGGACGCTAAAGGAAAGAAGACAATGGCTCTCTCGCTGCTAGTGGTTACCATTCAATGAAAGTCGAGAGTGGTGTAGAGTAGATTTGATTTGATTTGTTTGATTCACAAACGCATAGATCAAATACTGTGTCGCCGCCTTCCAACGTGTCCTCGTCCGTTACTTGTTAAGGCACTTTCCCATTTTCTGTTAATTAAATCCAATCGCACAGAATTGTCGAAAAAAGATTTGTGTATAAAACGCAATATCCTCTTTTGCTCGCACAACATACATTTGCTGCACGACGAGTAGATGGTGCCCGCATGAAGACCTGTGCACACGCGCAATCAGTGATCGAAGTATTTGTTACACCTTCTCTCGACTTGGACTCAGCCATGACGTGATTCAAGGAAATGTCCAGTCGAGATGTAGTCGTTTGCGCGCGATGATGATGAAAAAGGAAGAGGCAAGAAGAACGAACGAACGAACGAACGAACGATGGAACGGCTATCGCCTCGTCTCGGTTCACGCAAAATGCGATTGATTGATTACCGTAATTAATTAATTAATTAATTAATAATAATAATTTTAATTGATTACTTAATGAATTGATTGATGGATGGATTGATTGACAATTACCTCTTTCTGTTGTGTCCAGAAGCATCGCAAAAGATAAATTAAAATAACTCGAGGATCAATAATAATATTATGAAATTAAGTGGATAACAAAAAAAATGTGATTCTCCTGGACATTGTCCGATGCGGTGTATTAGTCACAAGGCGAATTCACCCATAAAGGATATGCCGCATAGTTTACGTTGCGACATAAACTATTTGTAAACAATTGCACAACATTCTATTACGCGCGCACACACACATGCTGTTGTTATGAAATAAATAAAATATTTTTATTAGTTTTCTGTTATCTCTCATACACAATAGCATAATAGCAATGAAACAGGTGTAACGCTGGTGCGACGCTGTAATTGCAATGGTAGGAAGGTAATTTAAAACAGCGAATTCTTATTGCGGATATCGAGCATCAACCTAACCACATTAGGAGAGATTGACCGGCATGTTCACAGGCATTCTAATGAAAACCCGTATCCATCATCATCAGTACGTGTGAGTATATGCGCGTCAGTTATCGCTTCCGGCGCCCGGACAACCAAACAACCCTGATCTTCAATCAGCGTTTGGCGGAAAGTGAATTGAATTGCTGTTGCGTGCGTGATCCAAATATTGATTGAACTCGCATTAGGAAGTTGTCATCCATCAGACAGCTTTCTTTCTTTCATGCGGCAGATGTCATCGTGTGTGTAATAGTATGCGCAGGCATTCATCATCTTACTATCGACACAATCGTTGCATCCAAGATGCAAACCAAGGCATGGAATAACGAGAGAAAGAGAGGGAGAGCACAAGGAACGAGTGACGACATTTTGTGCGTGTGCGTGTGTGTGTGTGTATGTGTGTCAGTTTCTATCTTTATCCCTCTTTTTTCCTTTCATCATTTATTTTTATCCATAACCAGGATTTTTTTTTGCATTACCTTTATTTGGTTTTGTGAAATCTCGTGGAGTTTATCAAAATTGAAAAAATAAAAAAAAAAACCAGAATAGAATAAATATTACAATAGAATATAATAGAAATAATAATGAATGGAATGAATGGAGTTTTTGTGAGTCGACCAGGCGAACACAAACCTCCACGCTTTTTTAATAAAACTGGGTTCAAGTGTTTGTGTTTAATTCAATTATTGTAAGGGGGTACGCACATCTGGCATTCAAGAATATCTTTGCGCATATATCCTCCAAACACGCACGCATTCATACACTCGTAATTCACAAAGGCATCTTCACAAACACACAGGTCAGAAATGAAAATTCATTATCAGACATGTCACAAAATCAGAATAATGCAATTCCTTGTGCTCTGTTACCGTACCGCAACCCGCGAGCAAATTTAAGGTTCGTAATTCACAAATCTACGGTTACCCCTCCTTCACCCTTTCTCCACGGAGATCGATTTCGTAACCGACACAAAACAAAATATTTCCTCCGTACGCCGAACAATGGAAATCTCAATGTTACCTTCTGTCAAACTTTCAAACGAGGATCTGCTTTCCCCCCTTTTTTTCGTTTTATGAGGCGATGTGCGCCTCCTTGGTCTGCATTCAGATTGCAGATTGATTGACACTATTGATTAGGTGATAATGTTATATCTTTCATTATTGTTATTATTGTTGTTGTGCGGTGCTATTATTATATTATTCCTATTATTATTATTATTATCATTATCATTATCATTATTATTATTATTATTGTAAAAGTAGATGAAATGAAAATGGTGTTGACCTTCTTTGCATCTCAAAAGAGTCATCTGAGCACATTGCCCAGCATGCCTGCCACTATTACATTTACGTAAGTACTATATGACTAATGTTATTACCGATGTGCCTCTTCCCTCCAGAATTGGCATCATGATTGGTCATTTCTCGATGACAAAGTGTGGTGGAGAAATCCCTGCATTCTGGATTCGCATCTCATCAATCTCACTTCCCTCCAACCCATCGCGGTCAGAGATTGTATGTATGATTCTCTATCCTTGCATCCGAAAGCGAGAGATCAAGCTTGAAACTCGATTTCATCTTTACCCGCTGCTCGACTTACCATATTTGGGTGGCTTAGGTCCTCGCTTCTTTTCGGACTGTTGGTGGTAAAAGAATGGACAACGTCCATTGCCTACCGACTAATCTCGCAATTGACAATATCTGATAAAGTGGCTGATTGGTCGACAATATCTCTTTTTTTTTTTTTTTTTTTCCCTTTACTCACGATATAATTGCTTTCACATGACAGATCCCATCATTCAAGAAAAAAGAATAATGAACGCCTGAATTGGTTTCAGCCTTACGTTTGAAGATTCCCTTTGGGGGACGGATTTGTGGTCTCGATTAAGGTAGAATCTGTGAATTTTTTCATCCCATTTTTGTCGTGCATCACATTCCAAAATTGGTCGCGCCAATGTATCAGATTTTCCTTTCGTATTATGCTTTTCTCCATCGTCTTTTTCCTTTCTTGCACTCGACCCTATTCTTCTCAAGGAAGAATCGGATCGTCAAATTAAACTTAATTGAGCTTAAATTGCTGGTCGTCGAAGGGTCATTGAGAAAAAAAAAAAAAGCCGTGAGGAAGGCGTAAGAGAAAAAAATGTTTTGATTTCATAGAATCGGTGATGATGATGATGATGATGACAACGATGATGATGATGTGGTTGATAGTAATATTTACCTTAGCGCGTTTGCGTTAAAGTGAAGTGGAAATGATATAAAGAGGGATATGCATTTTGCAACCGTGTACCACCGACACTTCATTTCATACTAAAAAAAGCAACAGGAACAAACTTCTTCATGATAATAATAATAATAATAAAAGATGACTTGCGCCTTGCCTAATTTGGAACATAGGAACGAGAGTTTCTGGTGGTGCACAAGGACATTTAACCGTTATATTGTGAGCGTTGGTACAAAAACTTGTGCGATACAAGAATTTTCTATTCAGGTAATAACCAAGGAATATACAACAAGGGTCATTCAAGGGTTTTAATATAAGGTTGTGGTTCGCACACACATACATACCGTACACACTATACATACATACACACATACATCTGTAGAAGAATGCCTTTTGTTCTATTGATGAGTGCACACCTTGTATTCTGCTGTAATTGCAATTTGGCAGGCACTCGCTAACCTCACTGGCATATCCAGTAACTGATAAACAGTAATTGCGGATTTTTATATGTCGTATGACCGTAGAAATTAAATTAACATCAATAAATTCATCAATGATAAAGTTAGCGAAGTTACTTTAATTCTAGGGTGACACGATAAATTCGGTGTGTCTCCTGTTTGCCACTTTATCAAATGAGTATAATTTATTATTTGAAAATATAAAATAATGCTTCACACACACACACACACACACACAATTGGTTTTTTTTTTTTTCTTTTGATGTGCTGTGGTACACATCGCGATCACGCGACATCAATTTATTATACGCAATACTTTAGCGGAGTGGTTTGCCGGTGCCGAAAATTCATTTAAAGTAAATAAAATAAATAAATAAGTAAATAAATAAATAAAAATAAATAAATAAATAAATAATGGGTTTTTTTTTTTTCTACTACTACCTGTGGTTCTGCTGCATCTCGCCTGTTCGGAACTTGATTTTGGAAAATTAAGGGATTCCTTTGCGTGACCCAATCAAAAACCTTAACTGAAACTGGAAACATTTCTGTCAATATCAGTTCCAGTGTAGTGTAGTGGGTGACTTCCCTTCCTCATAAAATAAAAAATATTAGAGAGGGAAAAAAAAAAATTTTTTTCGAAAAAAAACTCCCCAAAATTCTGGCCAGGTGTTCATTGGTCGTATTCCGGATTCAAACCACCGCTCTTACATCAAACAAATATATAACGTGAGGTTTGCGTTTGGGTCAAAATTTTTTCTCGTCGACTGCCCTCCCGAAATTTTTTGCTCGAGCTCCAAATAGGTCATCGATACTTTTTGTTGTGAACTTGTATTTAAGGTGAGTCGAGTGACACCTTTCTGAAATATATATTTTTTTTTTCCCTTTGCTCATTTTCACAAAAAAAGTGATCCCGGTATACAAACCTAAACCCAACCCAAACCATTCCTAATTCTCTCATAGTGTTCCCTGTGTGTACGCTGTGTGTATCGCAAAAAAATCAAGAGCGAGAAAATTCACCGAAAATTATCAATCCAGTAGACGAGGTGATTTGATGGTCCCTTTACTTTAACCGCTCCTCCCTTCATAATTCGCCGGTTACAAAAAAAAAAAAAAAAAAATTCGAATTCATTTTACATTACATTATATATATTATATATATACTGTATATGTGTGTGTGTACGTACAAACATACTAAACGTACGTACATATATGTATATATATGTATACATGTATATATATATACATGACATCCTCTGGTATCTCCACTGCACACAAATACTCTGTTGCTCACCCGCGTGCACGACTTCTGTTATACGTTTGTAGCTCTGGCGAAACCTTCCGCCCATCTCCTAAACATAGTATCATAGCACGCACACGCTACCGCCGCCACCACTATTACTACTACTACAACTACAACTATTACTATTACTATTTACTATTGCTAGCGCCCACTCCTCTTCTCGACGCACGTCTTCAACAACCATGATCACCGAGGAAAAGTGGCCTATCCAACAACCTCAAGTTTCGCCTTCGCCTCACCATCCACATCCCGCAATGTCCCCAACACAAATGAACGGTATGCCCACCGACAACTATATACCACCGTATCCGTACGACGGTCAAGCCGCGCAAGGTCAAATGCACCCCCAACCAATGTAAGTTGAAACACGTCAAATCAAAAAAAAAAAGATAATTGCATTATTTAGGTAGGCGGGGTACTCGAGATCACTAGGTACCGCGCGTAAGCACCCATGTTCTTCACGTTAACGTCTTTGCACGCGAAAAACATGGTAGTTTAACGTAATGGCAATGTCTACACACCACCACCCGCGTTCGATCTTGTGCGCCGGTGACATTTTCTTGCTTTAGGTTATACATGTTCAAGGATTTTTTTATATCGCGTGTCACCTTACACACGGGACACCGTGTGTATCAATTCATTAGTTTTTTTTTCTTTTTTGGTCCACTCTTCACTCTTCCCCTCCTCCCTCCCTTCCTTCACCTTCTTCCTTACCCTCGTGTGCCCAACCTCCCCTCTCCCTCAAGCTACTTATCCAATCGTAACATTACTAGTGTATTTTCGGTAGTATCGTCCTTTGATAACACATAGAATACGCTGTTCCCCATTACCCTCCCCGTTTTTCATCGGTATCAACGATGTATCCATTTTTTACCAGACCCGTTGATGACACTTATGCGAACATGTTGGTATCACAAAAGCAAGGGTTTGTTACCGTCCCTCAGAATAATAGACAAACCTCGTTTCAAAGGTGGTATAAAAAATATTGGTTTCGGATTTGACACAAAGAATCATGCGGTGGTGGTGGTAGCCGTATTCTCAGCGGATGCTATTCAAAAAAAAACAAACAAACACGCTCATGTTTACTAATCAGCTCTCGATTCATCTCCAATCAACTATAAAATAGTTTTGTGTCAATGCCCAGGCAGAATGGTTCCCCCGGTGGCAATGCAAATTCGACAACGAATCCCGCTGTCGATCGTAAGGCCATTGACAATCGTCCGGCGTTCACCACGACATCCTTCCACGCTACCTCATTTCCACAGAGTACGGCGATAAGGAAACGAAGGCCCGACGCCATAGGTTTTCAAGATGCCGGCCCATTCTTCTCCGTGACCCACCAGCACTACAATATTCATAGTATGGATAGATCCATCAGGTGGGCTTATCATCAACTTGTTCTTGTGTAGTCTCCATCTTGGCGTCCACTCTTTGTTTTCGTTGGGATGATCACTAAACTTATTGTCGCGTGATTCCATCATTAATAGTTATAAACTTCAAATCAACTCCAAAGTCGACCGCGGTTTCTTCCTGGCCGATAATGATTGGACGTGCTATCGAAGAAATTATTTCCAGATCAGTAGCGCATTCTCCTTCGTGACCTCACATCCTCTCAATGAATCCGACGTTCCGTGCCTGGTCGAGGTCGACGGTCAATTTCATCCCGTCACCGGTTTCCTGTTGGGCATCACGGCGCGTGTTTCGAATAGCGACAAGAAGATAGAATTGGTCCAGCACACTCCAAAACGTGACAAGGGTCCGCAGATGGTCCCGGTGCCAAAGCCGATTCGTGCCGGTGGCAACCTGAACTTGAGTTCGGTTGGTTCGAATTCGAACATCGTCACCTTCGAACGCATCCAGTTCAAGACCGCCACCGCGAACAACGGTAAACGTCGTGCTGCACAACAATACTATGTGGTGATCGTAGATCTCTACGCGCAAGTTGAGAGCGGCGAGCAATACCAGGTGGCCAGCTCCACCTCCGCTCCATTGGTGGTTCGCGGGCGTTCGCCTGGTCACTATGCCGACAATCACGAGAACCGTTACAACCCGATGGCCATGAATCCAGCGTACCCAAATGATCGACACATAAGTTTCTCACATCCGCAGGGACCGAACGGTGCGGTGATGCCACAAGATTTCAGCAGCGCACCTTTCCAGGGATCATACGGTCAGTACCCGCCTTTTCCAAACTTTCCCGGAAACCTGATGATGGCCGGTGGTTCCAATGGACAGGCACCTCCCTTTCATCCGCAACACCCGCACCAACAATACATGGTACCAAGCATCTCGGACCCGGGAGACCAGCAAAATCCAGAGATGTACAATGACACCGGCATGGTGAACGGTTCGCACGACCAAAAGATGCACCCGAATCACGGGCAGATGGAAATGCACATGGACGGAGTTACCAACACGTCGTCCCCGCATTCCGCCTTCTCGAATTTCGAACCACGTCCAGGTGCGAACTCGAATTCGACGACCGGTAACAAGCCTTACATGAAAATCGAGATACCGCAATCTTCTGGGATACCCGAGCATCCGCTCACCTCGCCCGCTTATCACTCACAAGAATACGTAGATGGGATACACTTGTATCATAACGGAGGTCACTCGGCAAACAATGCGTCCACGCATCACGGCGGTTACCATTCCGACAATGAGCAGCATCACAGCAACGGACTAAATAATCATGTAAATGGACGGCCATTGCGACCCGACGGTGCCTCAGAAAACGGTCAACATCACTCGAACGGGGTCGAGAAATCGGAACACGGTGGATCAAAGTCACCGCCATCAATAAATAGCAATACCACGACACCTACGACAGAGCTGGGTAAAGGTCTTAGTCAGTTGAGCTTTCGCATGAACAACAAGATCGAAGCCGAAGATAAACTGTAAATGATAAATATGGACGATTTTTTTTTTTCTACTTTTTTTCTCCCTAATACAAGGATAATTGATCTAGTCGCCTTTATTTATTTGTGTTTATTTGGCTGTTATTTATATTCATTTCTTTGGGTGAGAGGTGTGTGTGGGTGTTTTTTTTTTTTTTGTTTTTTTCTTCAAAAAAAAAAAAAAAAGTTATATTTTTCAGGCAAAAGTGTATTTGCGTGCACCTTACGATGTATAGTTTTGGGGTTTAAAAATTTTATTTTTCTTTTAGAAAATTTAAAAGGGGTTTCTTTAGCACACGCGTGAATTTTCTTCTTTTTCCTTTCCACTGCACCTAGACACAAGAATAGAAAATCACCAAAAAATTGGTTTACTGCCATCACTTATATTTGTAAACTTTTTCCTCTTTGCATTATACTTACTATATATATATATATAATTTTTTTTTACTTACTACTTCCATCTTATTAATATTTTTCACAAATTCATTATTATTATTATTTTATTTTCCTTAGTTAAATCATTTCTCTTACACGTCTATTTGCTAGTACTTACAATCCTCGATGTTTTTTTATGAATAAATGTTTTATTAAAAGTTTTTTTTTTTTCTTTTTTTTTTTTTTCCAACAAGTTAAAATCTTCTCCCTCTCCCTTACCCTTACCTTACCACTTGACTTAGTATATTTTTTTATTAAAACCATCATTAAAAAAGTTCACCATCAAAAAAAAAAAAAAATGAAAATCAACCAAAAGGAATGTCTATTATTTTCGTAACGTTATTTTTTTTTTAATGCACGGGATAAACCGATCACGTGAACGGTTATCAGACAGTATCCTAATTTTCGTCTCAAAAGTGATGATGATCGATTGTAAAGAAACGGATCGGTGTCGCGAAAATGCACGAACATCTTTGCGATTATATTACAAAACTTGATAAAAAATGGTGGCAGTGTTGTTCGATTACGTGTACACAAACAGACGAGTATAGAACGACAATCGAATGAGTACGTGTGTTAAATATAAAAGGTTACATTGCTTTGGTAATCTATTTTGGCATCTGGAGTGCATCTGGTATGGTTGGAAAAAAGTTGATGGTGATTATGGAAACGAACCGAGAATCTTGTGATTTCATAAGCATTGACGAATAGTGTGATATGTTAGGCCAATCTTATAGTAAAATAAATACAAGCGTAACCTTGATAAAGGGAACGACAGTTTGTTACGTCGATCGAACGTGCGATCAAATTTTTTGTGAGATCGCATCGTACATGACACGGAGGACAAGAAATGAATCTACATTTGCATTATGTCATGTACGTCACAATTTTTTTTTTTTTTTTGTTTTGCGGGAGAGCAGGAGGCTTAGCTTTGATCGAAGTGTAGGGTGCACCGCATACGTAAAAGACGTCACCTCTTTTGATGACAATATACTGTAGGTGGTCATAGTAAGTAATATTATGAACACGACAAATTCATCTTCATTAATTGAACAGGTGGAAACCAGGTTGGAAACAAGAATCAAGTCGGAACCAAATGGGTTTTATTCCATTATAATATCTTTTATATATTTATCATCTTGTGCACACATCAATTTAGTTTATCAGAATCTTCTAGTACACTTTGAACAAGTAACATGCTGTAATACAAGTATTCCCAACAAATTATACTAGAATGCAATAGACTCTATAGAATGCTGTGATTAAAAGGACAAATAAATAAATAACTTGAAAATACTGGATGGGATCTATCATATTTGCAATTTAATAAGATTATTTACAGTATTTGATAATGAATAAAAGAAATTCAACAATTCAAAAATCTTTATATTACAGTGTAATTATTTCAATTGATTTTCTGGATCTCGATAATATTTATTCTTTTAAAAGATGGCTTGTACTCGAAATAAAATGATTTAATTGTATTGTTTTGCTTTTTTTAAATTACTTTTACATGTAAAATATTATTGAATTCTTTTTTTGTCAACAACAAATTCAGATTTATTTTATTATTTAAACAATAAAAAAATTACATTTGTATTATATTAAATAAGAAACAAGTGATATAATTAAATTATAAAAAATAATTATTTTAAATGTATTTATGTTATTGTTATTTGTTTGTTTGGTTAAAAAAAAAATCAAAGTTTTTTATAATTTAAATTAAATAAAAAATTCATATACAGTATCTACATATATACAAGATAAATTTATTGATTTTTTATGCATGTCGTATCTAATGAATCTTTAATAATTATTATTTAAAACTGACTAATATGAAAATATAATGTTTGATCTTTTAACAAGTATATATTTAACAAAAAATATTATTTATGAAATATTATTTTAAAAATATTTTGTAATTGTTAATGATTAAGGCTGAATCTTATTTATTTCAATTTATTTATTTGTCTTAAAAAAATTCAGCTAAATAAAAATTTCATTGTGGATTTTTTATTTGTTATAAGTAATAATAAAAATAATTAATTATGAAAAATATAAAGAAATAATAGGAAATCTTAAAAATCAATATATTGTAAATACAAAAATAATATTTTTATTAAAATAATATATTTGTTAAATATATTTATAATAATAATTTTTTTTTTTACAATTATTTTGTTATAAAAATAAAATCAAATCAAAAAATGTTATTACCAATAATATAATATTTAAAAAAATATTTAAAATAAAAGATAAAACAATTGAATATATTAAAAAATATAATAAAAATTAAATTAAAAAATACATATAGTTTTTTTTTATTGTTTATATATTTCTCTCTTTTTATATATTATAAATAAATTTTATAACCTTTTCAAATTTTAATTATATTTTAATTAAATAATTATATTATATTAATTATTATATATTTATTTTTTTTCTTTTCATATAATAATAAATCAAAATTTTTTTAATTTTTTTTTTTAAAAAATAAATATATAATAATACATATCTTTTATTTTTTTTTTTTTTTTTTTGCTGCAAACAAGCATAAAATGCGAGACTTTATTGATTAATTAATAATCCTGTCATTACATTAAGCGTCCATTTAAGTT